AAATAGCCTCTCTTCTTCTTTTTGATTTGAGTTGAATTGATATTGGGGCATTTCGAAGTGTGATTATCCCTGATAGTACGAATATTTCTTCTTTTCAGCTCTACACCTAATGGAACATTTGTGAAGAAATTATCACAAAATATGTGGTATGATTGTTTTTCTAAAGAAGAGATAACGTCGGCGTACTGAAGAATAACTGATGGTCCTAAACCATGATCTCTATATTTTGGATTATTTTCACTTTTAGCACCCTGATATGGCTCAATCCATACAACATAACCCTCGCTGGTAGTACCTGTCCATAATTTGTAGCCATATCGAATTGGCTTGCCTCTAATGAATTGCTTGCAGCCATGATGCCCAAAATAAGGCACCATGGCTTCATCAACACTGATTCTCCCGTAGAATAACGTATTCTTGAAATGAGGCATTCATTTTTTGGATACGATTTCTAATTTTCGCGTATATGTCAAACTGATCTAAATTTGCGTTATCAGAGCAATGTGAATCGCTAAATATATATTCAAAACGATCTCTCGATAGTGCATTTGAGACTAAATCATTATGAGAATCGGCAGAATTTTCCCAGAACATTTGACGGCGTGGTACCGGCACTAACCCGCTAAGCAAAAGTATTGCAAAAAAGTTTTTCATTTCTTCTCTTGTTACCAATTTTGTTCTTGCTAGTAGCATACAAATTTGAATATGTAACGAACATTTCAATTATCTCATTACTCCAAAAACATAAAAATAATTCACTGGCTGAATTTTTATTCATAATATTATGTTGGCATGGAAACTGAACTTCTTCTGGAATCAAATCTTGAGCAACCCACTGGTAAGATTTCTTTCCGACTTTTTTTCTTTTCTTTATTCGACCTCTCAACTCTATCAATGCTGTCTGCTGTCTGTGTCATCAAGATCATTGTACGCCACCGGAATTCTCTTTGGGAATATTCTTTCGATTACTGGAAGATTATTTATATTCACACCATCTTCATCACCTAAGTCTTCATCCGTAACTGGCTCACAAGCATTCGTTGGAGGAAAGACTGTTAGTGCTAGTTCATTGTGGCTGTTATCATCACTGTCTTTGAGGGATTGCAATAGTTCATGCAGAGTGAGGCCTCTATAAAAAAAAAAACGTTTATTTGCCTACTGTCCTTCTGAAAGAACTCTGAGAAATGTTGCCTCTATAAATACAAAATACAAATATTTCGATATTTCATATTATTATTCAATGAATAATATGTTATTATAACAAAATATAACTAAAAGAGCTCATTTGTATGGATAGAGTAAACAACAATACTTACCCAACCAACTTGAAGTCGAGTGGTGTGTCCATCATAAATTGTATGACTCTTTCATACGCTAAATAACCTGTTTCTTGCTAACTGTGCCTATATTATTATGAACAATACATCAGAATATCGAATTCAATTGGCGGCATCTAAGAACACTCACTCAAACTTAGCCGAAATGCATTACAGAACTCTCCTTTATGTATGTCCTTATGGAAGGACAGTAGGCATAACTGGGTTGATTGGAAACGAAAGAGAGAAAACTATTTTGCCGGGATATCGTGGTTGGATTAATTTTTATCTTGATCTCAATGTCAAGTGAAGTAAATAAACTAGTTATTTCATACATTGATTCAATTCTGGGTTCTATTCAGTGGCAATTGAAAGTATGTATCTATTGCAAATGTGGTGTCAGTCCCTAAGATATTTTTTTAGTTGTCTGTTTTCCCTATTTTTGAGGAGGTCATTACCCTCTGTTCAAGAAATTATAATAATAATAGTATTTATTGTCCAATAGATTGTACAGTCCTTTTACAGGGTAATATCAGAACAACAAATATAGAGGACAAACCGAACTACTACAAAAACAGATGTACATTGAAATGCAAACAAGTAAATTATTAGACATTTCGTTTCACAAGCTTAATTTACTTCAAGTTACAACAAAATAAATCACAAATGTTACAAATCCTATTAAAATTATTACACAGTGTGCTGATTGGTGATTTTATGAGTACCTACATTAATTCACAGTCGAAAATTTTATATTATTAAATTTTTCTTGCTGGCAAATTGTACCTTGAAATTTTGGTGGCTTAGCAGATCAATCAATACAATTATGAACCGTTTTGGAGAGCCATGAAATAGACGTTGAATGTTTTCTGAACTCCAAACTTTAACTTGAATTTGCTCATCATCAACTGGTGATTGGTTCCTGTCTGTGGATATATACCTTCAATTTTGAACTTTCTCTGTATGTTTTCGGTGTGTGTAATATAGTAAGGACTCCATATAGTNGCAATCTTCTTCCTGCAATACAATATGATTTCAGTAATAAAAATTAAACAAAATATTCATGTGTTGAACATAAACTAGTTTTGTATTGAATGTCTTCTTGCAAGCTTCATTACGGATGGCTAATAAAGTATAAGTTGGGAAATGAAAATGAACTGTTTAATAATGCAGAAGGTAGTAGTTAGGAGCAAGTATTGTTGCTGCACATTTTAGAGACTTCAAGTGAAACCCCTATTTATCGTAGTAATTAATTTGAAACTAATAAATTTACCAACATATGAGTAATGGTGACAATCAATCTTAAAACTCTGTAAATAAATAAAATTTGATATTATTTTGAACTCACCTAAACAAATCTAGACACACACTTGTTTCTACCCAAACATTAAAAGATTTTATCAGCTATGCTATTACAACATCATATGAAGTGAAAAAAGTTTGTAGGGTTCAGTCAATGATAGGTGAACTGATATTTGTTCAAGTTTTTTCAAGTCTATCTGAAATCTATTATTTTTCAATTTCATCTATTCCAGGGTATACAAACCACACCCCGCTGTATTTTCAAGAGTTTCATTGTAAACGCTTTCAAAAAGTTGAATTGCCTTGAATATATTTTCTTTTATTTTTCATTTCTCAATTTGAACATTTATTTCTAGGCCAATGGCATAAAAATCGGTCCCCAGCACTCACCAACAAATCCATCCTTACCAGGTGCAGGAGGAGCAGGAGGATCTCAGGGTTCAGGATGTTGCTAGATGATAAGTTGAATATTAAACTCGGGGACTATTCAACTTGAAAACCCCCGAAACAAAATAAATGGCTAAGCATTGAGATTATTACGCAAATTGAAGGTCTAATATTTAAAAAGATTTTTTCAACTCGACCTGTAGGAAAGTTGGGAGTAGACCTGATTTGGGTAATACATTTTTTCTGACACTGGGATTAAATTTGTTGGGGTGAATCAATGTGTGTTGATCAAACTATATCGGTTGTTCATAAGCACAACCACTGCTTTTATTTTTGAAATTGACATGGCTTCATATGTATAGATTGACAAATTTATTTCCAGTCTCAGTATTGATCGTGTGATTATTCCAATGTGTTATATATTTACATTAATGTATTAGATTCCTTAAAATTTTGTTTATATTACGTATAGTTGAATAGAATGTTTTTTTTTAATTTTATTTGATTAACAAATTGTCCTATTCAAGGTATGTTTCTAGTGTATTGAGTTACCTCAGACAAATATATTGGTATGAAGTTATTGTATATCTCGTAATATGGAGGCTCTTTTTTATGTGAACTATACTCCAATATAAGTTACATTCAACTTTTGTTTGCTTTCAGTTTAAATTTTCCTGCCCTTCACTTTTGCTTAAAACTATGAAGTTATGCATATTGTGAATAATGATAGGTGTGCTAATATTACTGCACTCTTGCTTTTTGGCCAGCATCTGTAGAAGCATAATCGGAAACATGTTGATGAATCAGTTGGCAATTATAAGGAGGTAGGATCCTTAACAATTAAAAAGGAAATCCCACCAAATAAAATAGGAAATTAAAATATGAAAGTTTTTATTTTGGGTCACATCAATAACGATATAAAGTGAAGTACCACGTAATCATATGAAGTTTCTCCGAAGCCTTTGGGCATTTGAAAAGTTCTAAAATCCCATAAATTCCACCTGTAGAAAATCAAGATATTCATGAATGGTTCATTAATAACCCGTATTTGTGCAATTCCTTATTTTCAGATGATAATTGGAGTTTTTTGAACAAAACTGTAGACTTGCAAACACCCACACCTAGTCCATGAAGTTCACACACAACTTTCTTAAAAAGTAAATGTTTAGGCTTAAATTTATAGGCACGTTATTGTTTGTTCTTGCCTGCATTTGTGCAATTCCTTATTTTCAGATGATAATTGAAGTGGAGAGTGTTTTGGATTGTCAAAACAATATTCATAATCTATTGAAAACACTTTCCCAACACCAGACCAAAAATTACGGTGTCTAGACGCGCATTTCATATGATCTCCTGTGGAGGCTAACTTGGTTAGCGAAACGCACATCGAGAGACCGTTATTTTTTTCTGGTGTTGGAAATGTGTTTTCAATAGATTCATTTTACGCCAGAGGTTCCAGTACAAACCATCAAATATTCATAATATCATCTACACTCTATACTAATATTATAAAACTGAAAGTTTGTGAGGATGAATAAATGTATGCATGTATATATGCTTGTGGCTCTTTCACGCCTAAAAGACTGAACGGATTTCGATGAAACATAACATAAATACAGCTTATAAATCAGAATAACATATAGGCTACAATTCACAAAGATTTTGTGTAATTTTGGTCATTATATAACGATAAGTATTAAGTAAGTCAAGAAAATTCTTGCTCCCTGAGAGCTATCTTGGCGTGCGCTGCCTATACCGTTGGAGTTACATGCAGATAATGTGCCGTAAAATGGGGTGAATAGGTTCGCTGTGGTGAAAAGGATCAAAAAGAGGGAGTTTATCAGTTTAGTTCATAAAACCTTAATATCGTAATGAATGCTTTCTGTTTGAGTTTGACCGGTTGCCTGACTCTATATCTCAAAAAGGTTACCAATATTTCATCATTTAATAGTTGGTAGCACTGTGAACCAGGCCTTAAATAGAAGTACGGTAAGCCATATGTTATCATTGTCACCAAAACTTTGTCTGTTAATACGAATTTGAGAAGCATAGACTGAGGACAGTTGGCTTGATCAACTTCAACAGGTTAATAACTAAGGCACACAAAATTATTTTGGGTTATTCGTAAGCAAAAACAAAATTGAAAAATATTTTCTGTTTCCTTGCACGATTTTCAGGTTATCGAGGTGAATAGGATCAATAGTTGGGGTCAATAGGATCAAGGGCTGGGGTTAATAGGATCAAGGGCTGGGGTCAATAGGATCAAAATGCCTAGAGAATATAAACCAAAAGCAGGACGAAAACGTTACAAGAAACCTGATCCAAACATCATTGAAGAGGCTAAAAATGATGTTAATAACAAGGGGTATAGTATTCGACAATCCGCTATAAAACACAACATTGCTTACACTGTTCTGCAAAGACATCTCAAAAATGTGAATGTTAAAAGACAAGGAGGTCAAACAGTGTTAAGTGAAGCTGAAGAGAAATGTATTGCGGAAAAATTACTTACATGCAGTGAGTGGGGTTACCCCTTAGATACCTATGATTTAAGAATGGTTATCCAACAATATTTAAATAGAGCTGGTAGGATGGTGCCCCGTTTTAAGGACAATCTTCCTGGTAAAGAGTTCGCATATAGCTTTTTGAAACGACATTCGGATATGCTGTCGGAGAGAATGTACCAAAATATAAAACGAGCCCGGGCTGGTGTTACGAGGGTAACAATTACAGAGTATTTCAAACACCTTTCTGCAGAACTAGAAGGTACTCCAGCCAGCAATATCATAAACTACGATGAAACCAACCTTTGCGATGACCCAGGAAGAAAAAAAATAATTGCAAAGAGGGGATGCAAATATCCGGAGCGAATTATGAACCACAGTAAGTCGTCAACTTCAATCATGTTCGCTGCTTCTGGTAGTGGAGATTTGCTTCCATGCTATG